AATGGAAAGAATATTTTCATGAGTTGAAAGATTGACTGTTCCATTCACCTCGTGAAAATATTCTTCCCATTGCACTTATAAACATTCATTATTTGTATACTATGTATTACATTTTTCTTTTTCTTTCAACTCCACAAACTATAAGCGCCATAGTGAGACTTGTATACTGTGTGGAACATCTTGAATGTTCTTGGCTTATCAGGGGAATGCCATTATTAAGTTAGTGACACAGATTGTAAACCTAGAAAATATAATATTTTATCAAGTACCAATTTGATTTTGGTTTCAGGCATCGAATTATTCCAAAGAGAATCAATGTACGAATTGAACACATCAAGCCATCAAAGTGCAGGTCCGATTTCTTAAAACGTGTAGCAAAGAACGAGGAGTTGAAGAAGGCAGCAAAAGAGACTGGTGAAAGGCTGAACCTTAGGCGACAAGTATGTCCCAAATTATAGCTAAAGTAGTTAAAGTTGTGGCAATTGAGTAGAGTTGAAAAGTAATAAATTGCTTTTATCATCATCGAGTTACCTGCCAATTGCCAGGCGAATGCAAGCATTTTATAAACTTCTTTAATGCTGTCACTAACACACTACAGTTTATTTCATTCAAGAATTATTCTTTCAATACTGTACAGCATGGAATAAATTGTATCAAATTGTATTTAAATTTTTATCTGAAACCTGGTTTTTCTTGTTTCCTCCTCAGGCAAAGCAACCCAGACCTGGACATTTTGTCTCTGCCAAGGGAAACCAACCTCAAGATGTTGAGCCCATCCCATATGAGTTCATTGCTTAATTAGTCGCTTGAAACTTGTTAAAGAATTTAAAATGGACTGAAAATAAATATTGTCAAAGATGAAGTAAATGTGGTAGCATTTCATTCTGCTTGTTTTCAGTGTCTGCAAAGGCATAAGTAACTTTATTTTTATTGCTAATCCCTAATATTGTAGACTAAAGGCACAATGGGAGGGGGAAGATAAAAACTGTCCCTGTGATCCTGACCTTGTCTGGAACCATCATTGAACTGCTTGGTTATAAAAAACTGATCTACCAAAACAATCTAGCCAGAGGGAAAACATATATTAAGGAACCCTTAGGCCCACAATTGACCTCTCTGCTAAGCCCGCCCCTTGGATGTTGATTTTAAGGTCCCAAAAAAAGATAGCGTAAAATGTACCTATACACATACGTTTTTGGACATGCATGTATTCTGGCACTACTGATTGGTCAGTTCAGTTTTAATTTGACACTCCACCAATTGTAAAAAATGCATAAAGCCAGGCACTTGCTGCGTTGTACGACAAAAAATGAAAGAAACATCACAACACATTCTGTTGATGTTCTACTCAAGCAGAAATTGCATTTCTTTAAACTGGTTGGCATCAACAAGTCTTTATGATCAGGCAATAACAAATTCTAAGGGTAATAAATGTATTTCATACATTTAAAGTGAAATTTAGGAATGTTTATTAGAGTACACTATGTGCAATCCATTTTGCACCAAAAAAAAAAATAAATTCCCCCTACCTCATCACAATAATTTAAACAAATAATACATTAAGAAATATGGTGATGGGTGCACTAACAGGCTCTAATTACTAGCAGAGGGTTCACAAAACAATGTACTGTATGAAAAAAAATCAAAGAAAAATGTTCGTTTTTAAGTCCA